GGCCAGTCAGCGAGGGATATGGAATAAGACTGTCTCAGAAAACCAGTTTAGGTGGTGGTACAGGTGCAGCACATGCCTTTAATCCCAGCACCCAGGAGGCAGAGGCAGGTGGATCTCTTGAGTTCAAGGACAGCCTGGTCTGCAGCGAGAGTTCTAAGACAGCCAGGGCTACACTACTCCTGCTAGTGATATGTGAGATATTTAAGGAAAGTAGTTCATGGCTTTTGTGGTGTATCCAGATTGCTAGCATTGCTATTCTCTAATTTTGAGGCCATTACTAAGGCCAGGGTTTGAGCACAAGCACCGATACTGTTAACCGGTCTGATAGCCGAGCCACTGCCATTGACTAACAGGTAGGGAGCATATACAGCATAGAGGTGCTGACTGAGGGGTGGTGCCATGAAGCAGGGCTGCGTGAGATTTCACACACTGCCTGGAGCAGCCTGGAGTTGAAAATTGTGCATTTTACTTACATGGCACATGTTTATTTCTGGAACTTCCCATTTGTCCGTGTTGATGGTAGATAACTGAAACCACACAAAAACTGAGTAAGAATGAACTACTATTCGATGCCCCTTAACTAAAAGCTTTTCTACATTGTTTTATACTGAGCAAGGCATCATTGTACAAGGAAACCATTAAGAGTCCATGCTGTGCGTAATCTTTTTGTTGTTGTGTTTTTTGTTTTTTGGGACAGGGTTTCCCTGTGTAACAGTCCTGGCTGTCCTGGAACTTGCTTTGCAGACCAGGCTGGCCTTGAACTCAGAGATCTGACTGCCTCTGCCTCCTGAGTGCTGGGATTAAAGTTAAGCACCACCACTGCCTGGCTTGCTGGGCATGATCTTAACAGAGTGGAGACGTAAGACTGGTTGGCCTAGGGTTCTCATACAGCTCTGCCTGGGTAGGACAAGGTGTGAGGATGGAGTGACTAAAGACAGTCCCCTTATTTGAGCTAAGAAAAAGGCAGATAAAGAGTAATGCCAGAGGAAGAGGAGGTTGTCCTAAAGACCAAGTTCTCATCTTTCAAGGCCACCAGTGTAGGGGAGGGATGGTGCTAATTCAGAGCCCCTGTACCTATCAGATCTTACAAGATTTTTCCCCTTTGGTGTATGTATGGTGCATGAGTGTGCCATGTATTGCATTTAGAGGCCACACCAGGATGCCGGTGTCTTCCTCGATTGCTTCGTGCAGTGTTGACTTGTGACAGTCTCTCACTGGACCAGGAGCTCACTATCCCAAGTTAGTCCGGCTTGCCAGCTGGCCCTCAGGGTCTGCTTGTCTGTGACCCCCAATACTGGAATAACAGGCATATGTTGCCATGACTGGGCTTTTTATGTGGGTGGTAGGGATTTGAACTCAGGTCCTCATTGTGGGGGCATTCTGCACAAAGGACTCAATGGAACAAGACCCCTTCTGGGTCACTCATGTTTGTAGAACCAGTGCTCTTAGCCATTGAGCTGTAGCATGAATCTTAAAAGTTCTTATTAATAAAATCAAACCTGAGCCAGGTATTGGGGTGAATGCTGGAAGACCAGAGAGACAGAACAGGCCACAGCTGCCTCACCTCACCAGTTCCTCAGCTGATCTTGTTTCCTCAGACTGGAAGCCTCTTGAGTCCTCATCCAGAATGGGTCTCAGCTGAATTGTAGCTCAAAAGCCTAAAAGCTTAACCAGCCAAATGCTTCTAGTTTCTGGTCTTCACGCCTTATATATCTTTCTGTTTTTGCCATCACTCCCTGGGATTAAAGGCTCGCTTTCTGGGATTAAAGGCGTGAGTCACCATGCCTGGCCATTTCCAATGTGGCCCTGAACTCACAGATCCAGAGGGATTTCTACCTCTGGAGTGCTAGGATTAAAGGTGTGAGTGCCACCATTTTCTAGCCTCTATATCTAGTGGCTGTTCTGTCTCTGACCCCAGATAAGTTTATTAGGGTGCACAATATTTTGGGGAACACAATACCACCACACCGAGCTATTTCCACAACCATTAAAACCTTTTTTTTCCCCAAGACAGGGTTTCTCTGTGTAGTTTTGGTGCCTGTCCTGGATCTCACTCTGTAGACCAGACTGGCCTCGAACTCACCGAGATCTGCCTGGCTCTGCCTCCGAGTGCTGGGATTAAAGGCGTGCGCCACCACCGCCCAGCTGAGGCTGTATGATCTTGGGTTTACCTAAAATCAGTTTCCTCATCAGTAAAATGGGGACCAGGAGTGACAGGTGAATTAAATAGGATGATATAAATAAATTGCTAAATGCAGGCTTCAGTTCATCAGGCATCCCATGAGTCAGTTCGCTGCTATTGCTATTGTTGTGTGATTAGATTTATAAAAAGTGGTAAAATGTGGCTGAGAGAACAAGAAACTGAGTGTACTTTAGACAGGCTTGCCCAGTGTGTGGCACTACTATCCCACAGTTGCTTGTTTCTGGGATTCAGTCCCACACTGTCACCACAGCCAGTTTTTCCCTCCGGACAAACCCTACCTTCCTTTGGGTTGGCGCTTTGCCCCTGCTGTTGGACAGACCAAGAGCCTTGGTTTTGTTTGTTGCCATAACCCTTCCCCAACTTCCCTTGCTTTAGGAATGACTTCCTGGTGCTCATTTCTATGAATTTCTCTCCTCTCTCCAGTAACTGTAAGCTGCCCTCTGTCCAAGTCCTGTCTTGCTTTATTTCATTCTGTTGTGGCATCAGTTATCATCAGATACAGTAAAACTTCTCCTGTTTCCTGATTTGTGATTTGCCCGAGAACTGGCTGACAGGCTATTCTGTCTACTAAGGTTTTGCATTGAAGACCCACCTCTGGGTCTCTCAGCTCAGCACATGATTGATATGTACTCAGTTAATGCTTTGAACTTTTTTTAAACTGGTGTTTTCATTTATATGTATATATTACATGCGTTTATTTTGTGTGTATGAAGGGGAACACCCATGTAAAGTGAGAGGACAACTCGGAGTTGGTTCTCTCTATCACGTGGCCTCAGTGATTGGACTCAGGTTGGCAGGCCCTTAGCTACTGGGACAGGGTCTCACTGTATTACCCAGGCTGCTTTGGACTCCTGCATATACCCCCTCCAAATACCAGAACAGCTTTGAACCCTTGATCTTGTTTCCACCTCTCAGATGCTGGGTTTACAGGCATATGCCAGCCATAGCTCACCCTGTGGCTTTTGGGATCTTGCTCTATAGCTAAGCTGGCCTCTAGTTGGGACCCAACCCTTTTCATAATCTTCTGTCACCCCAGTCACCGTGTGAATGTGTTGACATCTTTGTAACTCTCTTCCTCATTTCTGTAACAGAGTGGTCCTCATCCTGGAAGCTCAGTCAGTGTGAGACTCTAGTCCTCTCTGTACCCTGCCTCTCACCTCACCTTTATGAAAGGTAGTGCTGTGTTAGCTTTCTTCTTGTTGCCCCACTTCTGACTCCATGGTCCTTCACCAGGGCAGCTTGTTATCATTGTGGGTTGGGTTGGTTTGATTTTTCAGTGTTTTTCCCCATTTTTCAGTGTTACACACTATTTCTCTGTGTAACAGTCCTGGTTGTCCTGTAACTCACTTTGTAAACCAGACTGGCCTCAAATTCATGGAGATCCACTTTAGCACCACCACCCAGTGTTGTTTTTTGTTTTTTGTTTTTAATGTATGTGGATGTTTTGTCTGCATGTACATCTGTCTGTCCAGGCTGACCTTAAACCAGCTATCCTTGTCTCAGCCTCCCAAGTGCTGGATTACAGACATGAGTGACCATGCCCAGCATCACCTTATTATCTGAGCCTCCCAGTATCAGTAAGTCAGCCTGTTCAAAATAAAAGTCCTTTTGGGAAGAGGACATGACAAGACTTGGCCCACTGCCAAGATTTCTGGTAGGAGAATAGGATGTGGCTACAACGTAGTCAAGAACTGTTTCCTGTGAAATCCAAGAACTGTTGCACTCCCAGACCATTGGGTTTAAAAAGCCTTCGGAACTAATTTCCTCTTCTGTGACATGCTCATCCCCAAGATGCCTTTGCTCTTAAGTCCTGAGACATTTCATTAGTAACAGGTGTAAAGCAGACTTCCCAATTCCTATCCTTCTACTCGAGAAACGTATAAACCAGATCGTGAAGCCTCTCACCTCCCGGATACTAATGATTCCCTTACGTCAGTCTATGTTTCACTCTTTGGAAACAGTCTGCATCCCACCCCATCCCCCACCCCCGCATCCCACCCCCCCACCCCTGACTTTTCTGCTCATGCATTCTAATCCCTGCATCAGCTCAGTACATCATAGGAGTCAGAGGCCTGTCATAAAAGTTTGAACTCTATTCCCGTTGCTGTTCTTGGCCACCTAGTAGATGGTAAGCTGAAGGCAAGGGGTGTGTTCATCGAGTCAGTCACAAGCAGTAGGAGTTTGTGAATGGACTCCTTTTAGGAATTGTGTGGAGAGAGACAGTGTGTGCCTGCTTTACCAGGCTATTAAGCAATTAAACGTGTCTGTCCCCTGTCCAGCACTCAGGTGGAGCTGTGTTGAGGCTCATGGCTGGTGTAGGTCCTGTTTGAGGTGGCATTGAGTTCCAGGCCTGCCAAGGCTACATAGTGAGACCCTATCTCAAAAAAAAAAAAAAAGTAGATTGAAGAATTGGGGGCAGTGCTAGGAATGGAACCCCAAAGCTTTGTGTGTGCTAGACAAGTGCTCTGCCATTGAGACCCCTGCCCCATGCTTTAAATATTTTAGCACACACATGCTTTTTACCAAAAGTAGTTGTTCCTTCCTTAAATCTCCAACTTAGTCAGGTGGGCAGTTCCACTGAAGGTCTAGACATTTCTGTGTATTTCATTCACCCCTTCCACCATAACTATCCAAGCAACCCCCCTCCCCCCTGCACGCTGCCCCATTTTACAGATGAGGGAGCTGAGGTCCCTCTAGAGCCTTTCTCTCCAGGTCATCCCCTGCCTGGGTCGGGGACAACAATCACATAAGCAAAGAATAAACTGGAACTCGGGGCTGGGACTCCTGACAGGGCTGGGAAGGCTTGCAGCTTTGAAGTTTACAGTTTATGTTTGCTGTATGTTCTCCCCTCACTCCAGATTCTGCCTGATCAATGCAGGAGTCCTGTATCTCTACTTCAGCAACTACCTACAAATCGATGAGGAGGAATATGGTGGCACATGGGAGCTCACCAAAGAAGGGTTTATGACTTCGTTTGCCTTGTTCATGGTATGTGTGGCTGGTGGTTTTACAACAGTGTCTCTTCATTTTAGGAGATGTTGGCCATTCAGGGAGCACATTAGGTGACTTAGGCTATGTGGTTGAGCTACTGGTGTTTGTTTGTTTTTGTTTTCAATCAGGGTTTCTCTGTGTAGCTTTGGTGCCTGTCCTGGAACTTGCTCTGTAGACCAGGCTGGCCTCAAACTCACAGAGATCCGCCTGACTCTGCCTCCCAAGTGCTGGGATTAAAGGCGTGTGCCACCACTGCCTGGTTGAGCTACCATTCTTTTCAGTGACCCCCTCAAGCATGTCCTCTAAAAGATGTGGACTGCAGTTCTGTACACTTGTGTAAATCCAAGGCCCGCTGTCAACTACATATTAGAAACTGGGAAATTTTTTTTTTTTAAATACCCCCCCCCCTTTTTTTTTTAAAGATTTATTAATTTATTATGTATGCAATGTTCTGCCTGCATATATGCTTGGACACCAGAAGAGGGCACCAGATCTCATTTTAGGTGGTTGTGAGCTACCATATGGTTGCTGGGAACAGAACTCAGGACCTCTGGAAGAGCAGTCAGTGCTCTTAACCTCTGAGCCATCTCTCCAACCTGGGAAATGTTTAAATATATACTTCTGGAGCTGGGTGTGGTCATCCACAGCTGTAATACCAGCAAAGTGGATTATAAGTTTGAATTCAGACTGAAGTACATAGAGAGACCTTGTCTCAAAAGAAAGGAAAAAACAAAAATGTAGATAGATATGTATATATAAAATAAGCACATTATTCCTGATAGGAAAAAGTAAACCACTCACATGGCTGTCATCTGAAATGTAAAATGTTTACTATCCATACAGTAAAATGTACTTTCTATGGTATTGTAGTATAGGTGAACCTTGAAAACATTACGCTAAGTGCTTCCAGACATAAAAGGCTACATGATTCCCCTTAGTGAAATGTCCAGAATACACAGGGCCATAGGGACAGAAAGTAGGTTAGTGATCACCAGTAGCTGAGGGCAAGGGGGGATGGGAAATAAGTGGCCATGGGAACAGGCCTTCTCTTTGGTGTGATGTTTTGGGATTGATGATTCTTATTCTTTATAAATACCCTAAAGCCTCAGAATTGTGCACTGCCATTTTCATATGGGGGCGGCTGTGTTGATCAGGTGACAACATAAACATTGTGTGTGTCTCCTTTAGGTCATTTGGATCATCTTTTACACTGCCATCCACTACGACTGACGGCCTTTGCTCCCATCTCTGCTGTCCAGTCCAAAGGACCCTTTTATTAGAGCACAGATACACGCTTGTTGGGGCACTCGTGCCACACGGAACTGAGAAGACCCATGTCTCTTGGATTTAGAATCAGCGTGTTGGGCATCGGCGTTTTCTGCAAGGGTTGTGAAACTTTTCAAAGAACCATCTGCCTTTGGGGAAGCATTTCTGAATTTGTCCATCAACCATTTTTCTTGGATACCATCATGTAACAGCTGTTTGCCAAGTGGAGCTGCTGTTTAATCTAATGCGCCTCTGGATCCGGATGAAACATTAAATTGTCTTCCTTAGTTCTCCGTCAGGTGTACAGTTTTTAAACTATCAGTGGCATCTCAAGTCTTCTGAAAACACCATGTGCGTGATCCATAGCGCAGTATGGGCAGCCGTCTAATAGGTTTCCACTGTAGAGTGTTTTCGGATACTTGAATAAACAAGTCTCACTGAAAGCGTTGGCGTGCCTGGTAAACTAAAGCCTTGCTTGCCTGCTCACCGGGACCTCAGAACCCAGTCAGGGTGTTGGGCAGAGCCCCACTTTGCTCTTCTCCCTCTCAGCTCCCATAGCAGCTTCAGCCAGGCCTCTTTCTCCTTTGGGTTGTCAGGGTTGGTGAAGGTCATTGCCTTGGCTTTAACATTGCAGAGGGGTCTGCCACCTGATGGCCCGGCCCAGCCCCGAGATGGCTGACTGGTCTACAGTGGGAGACTTAAACGCTGTCATTTTGTGTTTGACCACCAGATGGCAAGACGGGTCTGACTGGGCTATGTGTGGGTGAACACTGAGTCGAGATCTGAGAGCCTGGCTAAGATGACTTGCTGTGAGGGATCATGGGAAGATCTAGACTGTTGGTCTTGCTCTGCCGCTGTGGTAAGCTCAGGTGCTCCGCTTCTCTGCTTTCTGACCATCCTACTGTCTGGGATGTGTGTGCGTTCTGAAGAGGCTTGTGAGTGTCCCTAATTATTTTTTCTCTCCTTCATGCTAGTGGTGATCTCTGCCTTTAGTGGGGCTGATTAGCAGTCATAATGGGGGAAGGGACTCCACAGTCGTGCTGGACATCCCTCTCAGGAACTGACTTACCAAACCTTAGAAGTAATTTACTCTCTGTAGGGGCCTGGCCCTGCTTTGAATTGCGATACACGTGGACCAGAGGTTGTAGGCAGGGTTCGAGGCCTTGGGAGGAGATAAATGACTTCTTATCCTCTAGAGAGGAAAGAGCGGAAGGCCCAGGTGGGGCCCGGGATGTGCCTGTGTCCCAGCCCCACCCTCTGCATTCCCAGCCTTGCCTCTGGGGTCTCCGTCAGGTTTGCCCGAGCTGGAGTCCTAGGTGACAACATGGCCTCGGTTCCCCCTTTGACTTCTGCTTGGCCTAGGCGTCATCCAAGGGGTTATCCTCAGTCAGGCTGATGTAGGAGCTGAGGGATTCCCGGAGGCCCTCACTGAGAGGAGATGCCTCCCCACTGGCAGGTGCTTCCAAAAACAGGCTACTGTGGAGGGGACAAAGCGGGTAAGGAGCCACCTCTGTTTGCCGCACAGTTCACTGCCCTGAGACCAGCACCACATTACTCCTGCTGACAAACTCATTTCCTAACTGATCTAACTCCACCTTGACCTCCCTAATCAGGACTCCTGACCCACTCACTCCACCCTTCCTCTCACCCAGGCTGCCCTGAGGTCTGTGCCTACTTTTTCCCTGACACTGCTCAAGCCTGGGCGGGCTCCAGAAGGTGTCCGTTCTGGGTTGGGAGCCCAAGTTTTGTTCTGTCTTAATGTTCCCAGGACTCCCTTACCTGTCCAGCTCTTTCCAGTTGAGTGATGTCGACTGCACAGTCACAGGGAGAGGTAGATCTTTGCTAGGTAGCGGGCCAAGCTTCTGCAGGACGCAGGGCTCCTTGAGGACACAGCAGATGTCATCTGCCAGCTCTGTGGAAGAGACCCAAACCCTTGCTGTGTCTGCCCTGGCAGCTTTCTGTGCTCGGCACTTTGGGGACATGGTCACCAAAACTTAATAGGAAGGGAAGTCTCAAGCTGCTGGTCTCAAAGGCTGTGATGTAGAAGTTCGGCTGGGGCTGTTATGTGACACTTAGTTCGGTGTGAAACTGAAGAAAAGCAAGCGGAGTGGCCAGCCTGTGGCCCCATCAGATCTGCTGTGGAGAACCTACTTGTAGAAATCCCCAGTCAGCTTTCTCAA